AGAAGGAGTGAGTACTCGACCAAATTCACTTCCTTGACTCATTTGTCCCCTATTTATGTGATTAACAAAGGAGACCGGGCAAGCCAGCTTTTTATGTAGCACCTTTAATAAAAGCGATGCTTTACAATCCTAAGGTACAGGAATTTATCACACCCATTTGTTGCTGTTCTGTGCTGTCAAGTCACCTCTGACTTATGGTGATCCCATGAATGAAAGCCCACCAAAAAGTCCTGTCCATGACAGTTCCATTCAGTTCTTCCATGTTCAAGGCTGTGGTTTCCTTCATGGATTCAGTCCATCCCATATTTGGTCTTTTCTTTCATCATCTGCCTTTGACTTCCCCAAGCATGATTGTCTTCTCCAATGAGACTTACCTGCTCATGATGTGCCTGATGTATGTCAGGCTAAGCTTTGTCATTTCTTCCTCTAAGAAAAGCTATGGCTTGATTTAATCTAGGACCCACTGGTTTGTCTTTCTGTGGATCCAGTGTATGTACCCATGCAATTATGTAAAAACAGAGCAATTTCAGTGCTGGATCATATACTTTGCCTTTTTCATTGGCATGATAGCCCTGTGAAGGCAGGCCCTGAATCAGAAAATTTGTGATATTCAATTAAAAAATGAAATATTATCATAAGTCTCAAGATACCAATTCAGATAATTGATTTTTACTTTGCTCCTCTATATAGGAGCACTTGCTGTATGTAGAACTATATTTGAGCTGTTTTATTCATGAACTGATTTTGTTTAAAGCATTTCATCAGTTTCCTTGCTCCATGCAAAGCAATATGCTGAATCATCGATGGGATTTAAATATGAACTTAAGACAGTCACAATTACTTCTTTGTGGATGAGTGATCTTTTATATTCATACATCTCAAAATAGCAATACAGCCACTTTTCCATCTGTGAAATCCAATTTTAAGCTCAACATTTGTGCTTGTTAGGATATTTGATCTTGAATTAAAACATAGGAGCCTTAATAATTCTCTGTGCCTAACTGAACTGAGCTTAGCGCTATTTTAAAATCATTCTCCCTAAATTATTACCCTTTCTGGATGCTTGTACACAGAGTGGAATTAATTCATGCAAAGTAGATGCTGCTCTCTAGTTCAAAAACAAGGAATTGCCATGCAGCATGCCGGCTAGAGTTTGGAAAGGATCCCCTCTTCAATTTTAGAATGATCTTAGACACATGTCTCCTCAGAAAGTAAGTGGGGGCTTCTTAATACAAAATGGATACCACTAGTGTCAAACAAGCTTCTTTGTGCTGATTATGGAGTCACCTGGTGCAAGGAAACCCATACGATCCATTCATTTGGATCATCTTCCAAAAATTATGGCGCAAAAGCAAGCATGATTGTGCTCTGTGCAGTGATAGCACGTGGGGCAGGAAAACCAAAGATGCTCAGGCTCACCAAGAGTGCCTGATCTCCACTTCAGTGTTCAGTTCCTTTCCATCCTATTTCCATTTGTGACATATTTTACTTCTCATTTTAATAGGGAAAGTGTACATGTCTCCGAACACTTTTCAAAAGCCCATGCTTTCCCCCACTGGCTAAAGAGTGAAAAGGTGAGATGTTTCTCCCCTTTAATGCACATTTTTAATTATGCATTTAAAAAGATGTACCGTGAGCCCAATTTCAAGAATATGCAAGTTTATTTTGACATTCAAGGCTGCAAATGGGGCAAATTCTCATGACTTTGAAACTGAACTGAAATTCTCATACATTCTTTGATATTGACCTATTTATTGGTTTTATTTCTATCCCACTTTATTTATTTAAAGTTTTTTTATGCCGTTCCCATTGCTACACAGCCGCGGGATGGCTTTTTTCCTTCAAGGAGCTCAAGGTGACTTGCATAATCCTCCTCTTCCTATCCATCTTATTCTCACAAGAACCCCATGAAATAAATTGAGAGACTGTGACTGGTCCATAGGCACCCAGTAAACTTAATGGCCAAGTGGCGACTGAATCTGCATATCCCAATCCAACACTCTACCATTATGCTGGCTCTCAGAGCATTCATGTAGTTTGTACTCCATTTTTCTGCTAAGAAACTAGCATTCAAGGTGGTTTTCAATCATAAGAAGACTGAGCTCACACTCTGTATGTAAAGAAGAGCCCAGATTTGATCTTTGGGATTTGTTTGTTTATTTATTGATGTATTGGTAATATAGCAGGTGACTTGAAACGCCAATGACTCTGACTGTTTGATCTGGTAGGAGGCAGCTGTTATGGTACACTTTAAAGAGTAGACAATTTCACATTTTATTCTACTTCTGGTCAGGTGTTTCATGCAAAATGTGGTTATAAAACCTTACATCCATGCTCAAATCTAGTAAATCTTCTAATTTGCAAAGTGACAATATTGGAAACAGTTTTTGCTTTCACTGAGCAAGCTGGCCTTTGCTTAAATACCAAGAAGGGAGCTTACTAGATCAAGAAGAATGTTTTTATAATAATGTGTCATAGAATCTAATAATTAGCTAACAAAGGAGTTGTGATAAGTGGGAAGGTATAAATTCTAAGAGTGCAACACAGCACCTACACTACATGGCTGGTGAAAATGCATGTTTCAACATTCCAATCTGACACATTCATATTCTAGTTTTCTGACTTGACTTGATTTTGAGATTTCGGGATGAACTTTGACCTGGAGTATTCAAATTAGAGAAAGTTTTGTCTATTGCAGAAGTTTAAAAAAAATCATTTTGCACGGATAAGCATTGCACAAAAAGCTTAGAGGCCTCCCATGTTGATGACATTCTGTGGGTCATAGAAGCAGTGCCATGTTGAACAGCTTCCACTGATATAAGTGGAAATCATTCTGGCACGGCTCACCTCACAAAAATCAGATTACACAGGTACATCTGTCTGAAGAAAGATGTGTCTGAGAACACCTGCAAAAAGGGCTACTTTTCAAAGGGAAGAAACACCCAGTAAATCTTTCCTAAAATCTCAGCACATCTAACAGAATGTTTTAATGCTGAACTTTGCCCAGCATGGTTTTTGAGCACCTGCTGCTCAACGATTAAATGAGAGCAGTGTTCTCATGGAGCCCGAGGCTCATTTTTTAAATGCTAAATAATAAAACCTGGTGTAAGATGATAAAAGAGTCCAGTTGTGGCATAGAGATACCATGGGGAGCCTGCTTTTGGAGTATGAACAAAAATAAAAAAAATGCCTCCAAAAACAGTTGATTGAAGATTATCACCTGTTCAACAAGAAGATCTCTTTCTTTTTCTATCTGTACCTTGAAAAGAAACTATCCAGATGAAGTGGTTCAGATTAGAGATACTGTTCCACATACTTCTAAATGGGACACAACTGTTTTCAGAGGGAAAGCATGTTTCAGAATAACACGTTATTAAGACGGCTCGGGTTAATGATACTGAGTCACCTACATTTCCCCTACTGCATCATGAGCCTTAAGTGTAAAACAAGGGCTGAGCCAATACTGAGGAACTCCTGCAACTGAGGAACACTCATGTTCCTGGTCATTGAACAGCCGCAACTGAGGGCACTCTGGGGTGCAGGGAAGGGAAGGATATCGGCTACTGCAGACTGTAATTCGTCCCAAGATGCCAATACTGGGACGGCCTATAGAAGCTTTAAAAAAGTAAAATAAATTCTAAACACCACCATGGAGTCAGTTTTGTTGAAGGGTAGCATAACAATATTTTGAATGAATGAATATATTTACTAGGTATTAAGCTCCATCGAACTTGTTTGGAATCTACTTATGAATAAGTGTAGTATCAGGCAGTCATTACTCAAAAATGGAAGAGACAACTAAAGCATGTAGAACTATATTTAAAAGGTATTGACAATGCAATCCTTGCATTTCCAATTGAAAACATCATTACCATATTCTAAATTGTCCAGAATTTTTCGAATACACACTGAAGGTACAAAACTGTAAAACTCTGTAAGCTTCTTATGTAAAATCCTTGATAGACACTTATGGGGCTACTTTGACCTGTAACCATATCTTCAAAAGATACCAGATAAAAGATATGCCCAGGGGACCTCCATCCTTTCAGTTGTCAGAATGCTGGGTAATGCTAATTCTTACCTGTTACTATTCAGGGCCCTGTACACGGTTCATCTTAGCAATTTGAATGGGTAACCTGTCCTACTTAGTTGCATTACAAGTGTGATCACCTATTTCCAGAACTCTTGTATACAAATGAATGCAGTTTCTTTGCAATTTGAGCATTTGTGAATAGATTTGTGAAATGCAGATTGCATTTCAGGATGGCCAGGATGGCCCCTGCTGTGTTACAGAAAAGAATTTATATCTGCAATTTCCAGTAACAGATCAGTAGTGAGAGGCTCATTCTGACCTATGACCACCATATCTGAGAAGTTTGATGTGGATTTGTTATACTCTGATAGTTTCATCTTTAATATTCATATAATAAAAAACTCAGGAAGATTCTTTGCTGTTTCTTTCCATAACTCCATAGTATTTTATTTATTATTTTCAATGTGAGACCACTGGACCTTGGTCAAATGAATTTGGTCATCTCTGGAACTAGTTGTTTTTGGCAATATAGTGATTAGTACACAGCATGTTTATACTCTGTCTTATTGTTTGTTTCAATGCTTGTACTTGCCTGGATAAAATTACTATATTATTCCTTTTGAAAATAATTCATTTTCACCAGTTTGTTCATGCCAGTTCTTTTACTGCTCTTAGTTATTGCATGGGATGGATATGCCTGCTTGGTTTGAGTTGAAAATCTTTAATATTCATGCACATGAATGCTCATTTGGAACAGCTCAAGTTTTCCTGGCAGGCATGAGCCTGTCTCAGTTAATATTTGATTGACATGCATGGCAAGGAATATTCTTGATCTGTCCATTACTGACCAGGATGAGAGTGTTCTGTGAATATGAGAGTGTTCTGTGAAATGTGGCTTAGATTTGCTGGAACCCTGAACTTATGCTAGTGTGGGAATCCTGTTCACATGTCCTGATCCTGGAGCCTAATGGATCAGGCAGAATTCCTCACTGCTCTGAAAGAATCCCCTGCTACTAGAGCTAGTGATCCTATCAATGCCCTGCTTGATGCATGGACTGGAAAGATGACCAAGGAAGTTGAAATGATTGCTCCTAACACTCCTCCGTGTTGTGCAGGTTCCATTTCTGAAGACCTTATAGCAATTAAGTCCTTTGGTAGATGGATAGAAAACTAGCAGAGGAAAAGTTGGAACCAATCCAAGCACTGCCAAGAGTTCCCTTCAGGTTGTACACTGTAGTGACAATAGCAGCAAAGCTGTAATTGTTTTTCAGTGCTATTACATCAGCACAATTTCATCCAGCAAAGTTGTTTCAAGTTGCAAAGGGGGGTGGGTGTTACTTCCTGGTCCTGGAAACCCCCCATGCACTGAAAAAAGAGTATAATAGAAGTAGCTGTTAGCTACAGTGTTAACTTTCTGTGCAAGTCTGATCCTTATCAGCATACGATAAGCACCATCAGAAGGGAGAACAAGGGACTTGACGTTGCCCATCAATAGTGAGGACCTGGACAGCAGTCGGCTAAGGCATACTGCCCCTCCTCACCCCAGCAATCTTCAGCACAGAGGTGAAATATATTTCCTTCTAAATTTTCACAAATAAACAGAAATATGCATATGCAAATGGTGTCATCATTGATAACGCATCCTGTTCAGTTTATAATGAGTTGCTGCCTTGTTCACAGAGAGCACTGAGGCTCATGATTAGCTAGGCCTTTCCCCTAGATAAAATATTCCGGGGGGGGGGGGGCGGAGCAGTTAAATATCATCCTGTTAACTCACAGTCCCTGTCCTGACCAGCAATGCAGCTGCCTGAGCTTCAGTGCATATGGATATTTGGTGAAGTGAAGTGAGGCTAGTTGTATTTTTGCAATGTATCTGATAGGTGGGATCCCTTTTCTTAAGCATAGGAAAGGGCCAGTATCTCATGCTAAAATCACAGCATATTTGTATGGGAATGGAAAACACTGATTTGGAATTCTTAGATGCTCAGCTTGAAAGCAAAGGCAACAGAAGCAGCAGAAGGCAAATCTAATGTGCATTGCTGAGTATTGTTTAACAGTATAATGTGTTTCTGAATGGAATAATGAAATCAGCAATGGAATCAGTGATAATATTTGGACCATGGAGGGAAATAAATTATCACAGAAATGGCTCCAAAGGAGTCACAGCACTGCCAACACAGCAGCAAAAACAGCAGTCAGATGTAAGAAATGCACATGGAAGCTTTCTGGATCCCATGCAGACCTCCCAGGATAGTGTGTGGCAAGCAATTAATGAGAATTGGCTCTTCTGCTTGGGTTTTCCATTTATGTTGAGGATCCTTCTGTATTTTAAATGCCAATAATATTTTAATAGCCTGCCTATATGGTTCTTCCAATTGTCTTTAAAATTAAATATTGACTTTAAAATTCTGCATTGAATTGGCAGGCAGAAGTGAGCAAGTCTCATGAGGCAGTAAACAGCAATTAATAATCTGCTCTTTCCTCTAATCATAAATACGATTCCTCCCTAGAAACTCTGCGTGAAGTGATCCAGGCCATGGTGGCTTTTAGAATACAGCTATGCTTTGTCATCATCTGTGTCCATCAGTCTTGGCCAACATTGTGTTTCCAAACAAGCCATGCTCAGGAATAGGCTTTTTATGGTTATACAAAGGCAATAAAGCAGAAATGGATGGAAATGCTTGAGGAATTCAGTATTTCTGAATCTGATATAGTCCAACTTGATCCAAGCATGCCAGACTAATTCAAGGATAAAACATAATTATCCACCAACTTTCACATGTCCCAAATGTTTTGATGACATTCAGAGCTCAAAAAACCCCATTACCAGTAGATTTAATGAGGCAAATTTTGAAAGAGTAGCTATCTATTTAGAAATGCATATTTTGAGAGAAAATACATTGAAGAAATGTGCATTTAAATGCATATTAAAATGTAAAACTTTATACAGAATTTTTAAAATGTACAGATTAATGCAGAAATAGGGCAAACTAATTCACCAGTTCCTTGAAAATGCTTGTATATAGCAGTAGACAATTTTAGCTTTTTGCCTTTTGTGATAATTTTGTCAATATACTAGAGAAATTATCTCTGGTGGCAGTCTCAAATTTAAGCTTTTTATTCCTCTACTATATAGTTTTAACCACTTTTTCCACATTGAGGTGAGGAGAAGCTCTCGAAGTTCTTATCTAGAAATTTTAAAGCTACCAGATACTGATTGTCTACTATAAAGTCTGCCTTGCCACTTACAAACATGATGGCTTCATCCAGGTTAGCTTTCTATAGCATGCTGCCTTTGAAAGTCATTTCAGATGGAACAGTTATATATTTTATGAGAACTCTTTTACAATCACATCATACAATATAGGGTTATCATCACCGGCTTCCAATCTGTCTTGAACTCCACTGAAAGTGGTGGCTTGAACCCTTACAGCCCTTAAAGGTTTGGGATCAGGATACCTAAGAGATTGCTTGCATTTGACACATACATTGGTTACTTCCTGATTGGACTTCTGTAATGCCCTTGAAGACAGTCCAGAAACTTGAGATGGTGCTGACGGGGACTGGGTGTTATTCTCATATAACCCCAGTCCTCTACCAGCTTCACTGGCTCCCCATCAAAATCTGGGCCCAATTCAAGGTGCTGGTTAGCACCTATAAAGCCCTTAACGGCTTGGGACCGGAATATCTAAAGGAACAGCTGCATCCATATTTGCCCTCCCACCCCTTGAGACCAGCAGCAGAGGCCCTTCTCCAGGAACCCTCCGTGAAAGCTATTAGGAGGGAGAGTACCCAGAGGAGGGCTTTCTCTGTGGTGGCACCCCACTTATGGAATGCGCTCCCCAGAGAGGTCCACCTGGCACCGTCGTTATTTGCTTTTTGGCACCAGGCCAAGACCTTTTTATTTAAATGATATTTTAATAATTATTATGTATTGGTTTTAAAATCTTTTAGCCAGGATGAATTCCAGATTTTATATGTTCTTGTCTATATAATCTGTTTGTTTATGATGTTGGAAGCCGTCCCGAGGCTTATGCAAATGGGATGGCATACAAAAATTCCAAATAATAAATAAATAAAATAAATTTACATGAATCTGGCCACATGCTGTGGTCAATGGGAAGAAGAGCCTTGCTCCATCCCAGCCACCAGTAGATGCAGAGTGTATACATACACCAGAAAGAGTTTCTCTGAGATGTCACAAAGACTCAGGACAAGATTGCACAGGAAACATCATTTGGCTTGCTTCCTCCTTACTTCCGTAAGAAAGTAAAGACACTAATCTTCCAAGAAGCTTTTCATTTCAACCCTTTTCTAGGTGTTGCTATTACCAATCCTATTTCTGATGGATTTTTCTTACTGCTGCTTATATTGTTTGTTGTATATTTGTTCAATCAGCGTTATATCTTTATTTCAGTGATTTTATTGCGATCATGGGCTCTCATTTAGAACAGAATGGCAGGGTGTTTACTTTTTAATCAAGTGACTTGCTAAAATGGAAATGTTCTTACAAAACACGCTTAGCGTTGTATACTTCTACATGGGTTCACATGACTATGCTTCCTTTGTTGGCTGATTTTCATACTTTCTACTTTGTTTCCTGCTTTAATGACTTCCTGTTTCAGCAACTGGTTATGTGACTGGTTCATCATTAGCAGAAATTAAGAGGGAAGAAGGAGAGAAAACATGCATCTGTCACTAACAACATTATTTGAATGCTAACATGCAACATCCTAGTGTTCCTCTTGATCTGCCAAGAGGGATCAGGTACTTTTAAAGAAAGGAAGATAGCACAAGCCCATTGCTAGCCCCAGAAGGAGTGCATGAAGGAGACCAAGCAAGTAGCTGCCATTGTTGAACCCTTGCAACTAGATAAATAAGAGGCAGCTATAAACTACAAATGGGTCATAAATGTGAAATTAAAATACGGCTGCTCCTTTAGCAGTTGTATCCGGCACCGCACCACACATGCAACGCAGTCAGAAGCTGGAAGAGCTTGTTCGAACTCGTTTCTGGAGTTGTGCTCCAAAAAGGCCTATTCTATTAGCAGCTGCCCCTGCTAGCATAAAATGACTGGATATGGTGAACTGCCAGCATTGGATAATGCCCTTAAGAATATTACTTGAAAGTTAACACCTTCAAAATGAATAGGAATTGCCTCAGAATACATTTAGGATGGAAGTGCTAACATGAAATATGCTGCTTTTTTCTTTCAGAAAACGAGATGTGAGGCAAAAGCAACCCCCATTGTCCATATGCATGCACCGAGCAAAGCCTTTTCCTCCCTTCTGTGTCCAAACCAGTTCTGTGCTTGCTTTTCTGGCACTGTCACTCTATGTGCCAGGCAGGCTATGTCTGGAGATCCTTATTTCTTGTCATGCAGACCCAGATCTATTCCTAGCTGTTTCACTGCATTTTGTTCTTTCATTTTATTCATGCCAGATACTTAAGTTCCTATTTTCTGTTGATTGTATAGGCACCATAGAGTGTAATCAGTTTCACATATGTTCTCCAGGTGACCTATTGAAACACTCGTGTGTGCACCCTGTGAAATCACACCCTGATCCATGAAAGCTAGCGCATCAGAGAAAGGAGGGCCAGAACCTTTCAATCCTGACATAGCTTACAGTACATAGCAAATTCTGGATACTGGGGAGCATTCATTAATTGATTGTTGTGCTGTATCAGCACTGACACAGGAGTCATTCATCTGGACACGTAAACAAGCCCGTGGAGTATTGGTTACAGGAAAAATGTAACATTTATCCCAGAGAAAATATTCTTTTGCCAAAAGGAATGGTAACCACAGCCAGAATGTTTATCATGTAGAAAATTAGAAAAGTCAATGACCATATGGCTTCTGTACATCTGTCTTATGGCTTCAGCACGATTTCTCCATCTTAGTTGTAACTAACTGTCTTAACTTAGGCTACAAGTTGATGCTAAAGTCCTTTTTATGTAGTCCCCTTTTCCCTTGGACTGCTAGTGCCTCTAGCAAGAGAAACAGGTGTGCTTTCAATTTTAGCTACCTAGATTAGTTGAAAAGTAGAGCCCAAGTAAGTTCTACTGTGGCTTGCTGGTCATGTCACGATCAGTGTGGCAAGAATAGCCTTTAGTCAGGAAATAATAGATGCATTTAAACATACTTTAGCTGCAGGTCTTGTGTTTTAGAAAGCATGGACAATTAAATGGCTTTTAGGGAGTTTTATCATACACATGCAGAACAGAGGAAAGGCAAAGGGCATAGGAAGTATAGCCAGACTGAAATATGAAAGAAAATAGATGAGCAAAGCAACTGGGGGATAGAAAAAACTAGTTGTTGCTGCAAAATTATATAGCTGTAGAATGCAATTGAGTCAGAGGGAAAACTTGAGAACTTGGCAGCCTCCTTCTCCAAGTCAACTCTTTCAATTACTGGAAGACCCATCAATTTTCAAAGAGGTTTCTGTCCCAAATTATAGGCAAAGAAGAATTGTATAAAGGATTAAATGTGCAACGATGTTGAACAGGGATATGCAAATCTTCATCCAATCTCTTCTATTCATTTTCCCATGAGTTTGTTCATGGACCAAGAATCACTTCAGAGGATACCAATAACATGGTGCTTGTGAATTAAATACCCCTGTAAAGCAAAGGTGGGATGACAGGAAGCTGCTTGGTCATTATATCACAATACCATCTCAGGACTGGGTGGGTAATTCCAATGGGATAAGTTTGCAGTGAGGATGGTGCTGAGCTACCACCGCCAGTGGGCTCTCTGGAGACAGGGACAAGTTGAAGCTTCAGAGTCACTGGAACCTGCTCTCTGAACAGGCCCACACTGGGTGCAATCAGCTATAACAAACTGGATTTGGAACTGGATCTGGCGTAGCTGCCCTCCTCCCCACCCCAAATTTCAAAGTGCCTCCCTGAGGTATATCCAGCACCAACACTGTCTATAGTAAGAGCTCACTCTCCTACCCAAGAAGAAAATCCGTCACTGTAGCTTGGTCTGACTTACTATTGCACTTTTCATACTGGTTATACAGTTTTGCTTTTGGTTTTATGATTATATGTTGAATTGTCATTTTTTATATTCCATTATGGTATATTGTTTACAAATAGCAGGTTAAAAGTATTCCAATACATGCATAAAATAAGTGTGAGGGGAAATCTGAATAAGAGAGAGAGAGAGAGAGAGAGAGAGAGAGAGAGAGAGAGAGAGAGAGAGAGAGAGAGAGAGATTCACCATAATAAGAAACATGGAAAACTAAACCTTCCCAGCTTTGATTGGCAGAAGCAGGATGTTTTTAGGAAGTGCCAAGTGCCAATTGCATCATTTATGATGTTTTATGTTGTTGGGTTTTTATTATGTAAACCATCTAGAGAGCCATGTTGCTACAAGGCAGTATACAAAAGTGTAAAACTAAATAAAACAAGTGATCTGCTACTTGTTTCTCCCATGCTCCTATTAGAATGAGGATGGCATTTGGTTCTGAGCGTAGTTACATGCTATGCTCCCAGTATCTTCTATGTGTATAGAAAGGCAGTATCAAGCATATGTTTGCGCATATAAGACCTAGAAACTAGGAAGCTGCCTCATACAGCTCAGTATTGCTGCTCTGCATGGCAGCAGCTCTGCAGGATATTAGACAGAGGTTCTGCCCATTACCTGCTCCTTGTAAAAGTGTATATGCCCATAATCAAACCCGTGACTTCCTGCATGCAGTAAAGTGCCAGTACAAGGAACCTTAGTGCATCTCCAACCTTCTCACCAGCTACCGTTTCCTCTTCTTTCTCATCAGTGCTATCGCTTGCTTGGCAGGCAGAGAGCAGGTGAGCAAGTGGGCAGTGCTGCCTCCTGCTCCCTCTTTTAACCACAGCTTGGTAGGCCAACATGAGAAGCGGGTGAACAAGCAGGTTGCAATTGTGAAGAAGCATGAGGTGAAAGGGCTTCTGTTCTGTGCTGCACCACTGAGCTGTTCCCTGTGGTTATTTCCTTTTATTTTGCTGTACTCAGCAGATCCTGTTGTTCACATGTTTATCTGTATATTTTCTGTTTCATAGGCAATCGTGCAGGAAGTACGAAAAGGCAGATACTTTTAGCAGGATATGTACTGCACATCGTCTGGAAAAAGCAATTCTGTCTTCGAGAAACAGGGCAATTTCAAAGACTTTTCTTAGCCTAACATACAATGAAGCTAAAGCCGTTCATTGTTCTCTTAGTGCATTTCCTTCAAGGCTTCCTTGTGGATGGGCAGACCTTGTGCAAAAGATATGTGACTTCAGAATGGCAGATGCAGCCAACGGTGCACGTTGTAAAATGGTCCCTGACCCAGAACATCTGTTCCAACTTTTACACAGACTGCTGGAATATAGATTCAGAACGTGCAAGGAATGATGGAGAGCACACAGCTTTAAATAATCCCCAGATTTGTCCTTTGCAACTTCAGCTAGGAGATACAGTCTTCATTTCTTCTGAGCCATCTTTTCAGTCACATGGAATGAATCTGGCAAATGTTTCCTTGGAAGAATTTCTTAGGTGCCCTCAGCAAAAAGACATCCTTCCAAAGCAGCTACTTTTTGACTGCAGGTTGAGCGGGATGCACCAGATTGACCCTCGGTGGCTTGCAGCTGGAACACATTACTTTGCAGAAATCCCAGACCGGGGACCATTTTTATGTCATTTAGGACTCAGACTGAATATAACGGTGAAACCACACCTTTGTCAGCAATCTGCAAGTGCACCTTTTTGCTCTGGACATGGCAGATGTGTAAGTCATCTCTGGGATGCGACATACACTTGCCACTGCAACCAGCCCTATTCAGGGCACTTCTGCCAGGAATTTGACATGTGCTCCACTAAACCCTGTGACAATAATGCTTCCTGCATTGACAAAAGGGAAAAAGGGGAAACTGCTGGTGATTCCTATGAATGCATATGCTCCCCATTGTTTTCAGGTAAGAAGAAATTTATTTCAGTGCCACACTAGATAAGATATTTGTCATGCAGTTTGGACTTGTGTGCACTTAAAAGTGAATAGGCCAGAGAATAAATAGCTGATATATCATGGGCTGAGAACTGGATCAAGACCATGGGAGGACTTCAACCTTTCTCCAACACAGTCCCAAATGGAAGTGGAACCACATTTTGGCACTATTGAGAGATTTCACCCATGGCAAAAGCGAGCGTGGTGGCGGTGGCGGCGGCAGGGGTGATCGGAACCCTGGTAGGGCAACGAGTTAAAGGGTCCCACTCCCATGCTATTGTCCCAATGGGAACCAAGACAACAACAACCCAAACCTGGATGCCAAATATCACCCCTAGTTTTGCCTATAGGTTTATAACAGTGACAATAAAGCTTGATTCATCAATATACGTGTTACAGGGAATATACATATGACCAAGGGAATCCCTTGAAAAGACTGCCAGTCCTTAAAAAATAAATTGAAAGTATGTAGATTCTTTCACTACCTATTTCAGAGGAACACAGTTTAAAGATCGTGTGCGACCCACTTCATTTAAAAGCCTGAATTTTCAATCCCTCCATTAAGACCTTTACTGAGAATGCTGGGAACCAGCTGAGTTGAGCACAGTGCAAGCTGTTTAATAGACTGTGTTAGCATTGTAGGTAAAACCTCAGCAAACCACATGGACAAAAATAAACCAGTGAGATTAATATATTTGTGGCTGGGTTGTGGCTGTAGCTCACAGGTGTGAGAAAGAGAACAATGACTCTCATAGTGTTAAATATTTCTTTAAAAAAAGCCCTAGAAGAATTGCTCAAGTGTGAATAACAGTATAGCAACAATTCAAATGACAAGCATAATTATACGGTATTTAGTCCCATATGCTGTAAAAGCACAAGCAATTTATGATTGGTAATTTCCAGTAAGCAGCATGTTTAAGCAGAATTCATCCTAAAAATGTCTGCATTTCCAGGCAGCTGCTAAATCATGCTGAAAAATAAATATTAGGTGTCCTATGTTGAAATATTTGAAAAAAAATTTTTCCTGAATTTAGAACATTTACCTTCTAAATCTTTTAGATGGTTAAAACCCTAATGTATGCCTGATTTGATCCAGTGGATGCTCATTTAGCTCAGCAATTCCTTTTCCAAAATAACAAGCTCTTCATTAATGAGATGCTCACAAGCAAGAAAGACACGATGGCCACCAGTTGTTTTACCAAACATCCTAATATGGATCCTCCATACTCTTGTGATGATTAATGATGATTTTTCTGGATTTTACTCTTTGGTTTTGCTAAAGCCCCATTTAAGTCTTCCCCATAATGATGGCATAGCTGCAACCTCTTCTGAGGATTGTGGGATCAGACATCCATGTCTTAGGCTCAGAAGATAAAAACTGATCTTGTGCTTAAGTAGGTTGATTATCCCAGGCCCGTCTGAAGCTGTATCGTTCGCATGGGATAGAACCACATGAGCCACCCACTCAAAGGGGAAAGAGTGGTGTGGAAGTGACCAAGAAGATGGAATCAGCTAGGGGAGAAGGAAAGATTAGCTGTGAATTTTACCTAATTTTCAACTTTTGAAGCACCATGAGACTTGAACTTCAAAATTTACATTTCTTTGATTTTATTTCAGTGAAATTATCCAATCACAGTGTCCATGCCAAAAATATGTATGTTAGAGAAAGTAATTGCTAATTATGTATTGTGTTGGGAGAGCAGGGCAAAGATGATTCTATTAGTGTAGTCATGGGTAGGGAGGAGTAGGGCATCAGTGTATTAACGAGCCAGTTGAAGAGAAGCAGGAGAGGGGCTAAGCATCTTATATCTGTCCCCTCTTCTGATTCTTTCTCCAATTAGATGTCTTCCTGGCTGTCTTATCAGCTCAACCTCTGATGACACTAGCATTCAGCCCAGTACAAAATCTCCCTCATCTGTGATTTGGGCTGACCTGAATGCATTGCGGAGGCCTTGGTGGGGTAAATGGGAGGTGATTGTCTCTTCCAGCTGAGCCCTGAGTGGATGGGGGGTGCCGTGGCCTATGGCAATTCCAAATCCCTTTCTAGGCTTCCTGTCCATTTGAGTGTTATTTTTGCATTGTATCAGATTCCCAAAGCGGATTAGGGGTTCTGCTAGTGTACTGCCCACTAGGGTTGGGACAAACCTTATCAGAATCTATCCTTCCAAGCATTCACAGGCTTCCTCTTGTCCTTGGCCTGGTCTTGCAGTCCTGGTTGCACAACCAGCAATCTCCTTCCATTACAATTGCAGCAGCTAACACGGAAGGGGGATGCTACTTACAGAGCAGTCGCAGGTGGGCTGTTTTTCCGGCGAGCCCCTCACAAATAGAACTTGCTTTGGTGCTCATGCAGGAGCTGCCTGTGGCACTGGAAAGAGGCACTGCTGCTCCCTCCAAAAGGATGCTTCATAGAATTTTCTTCAGGAGTTTGACATTTCCAGACTCTGGTTTTAGATCCTTTGTTGTACTTTAAACCTTTGCACTGCTCTTAGGTTTCACCCTGGCTTTTACTTACTTCTGTATCACAGTTTTAAACTTTTAAACTGTATTTAATTTTGTATTTTAGAGCTTTCATTGTTGTGAACCTCCCAGGGAGCTTCCACTATCGGTCAATACAAAAATGTAATAAAGGAACCAATAAGGAAGGTAGTTTGCAAATATGTGTAGCTTAGATAAAATGCATACAAAATGTATGTATGAAGAAAATATTCATTAACACTTTCATGCAAATTTTAAAATAAAAAACTCTTTTTTTTAAAACAGGAGATATTTCTAGAGTTGAACTGAACTTAGTTCAGTTAGTAAACTGAAAAACTGTGACAAGCTAAAGATCCATCCCTAATATCAAATCAGCCATTTTAGCTAATGTTCAAGCAAGGCATTTCCTGTATTTATAGGCTTATAAATATAATTATATGTACATTTTCATTCTTCTGTATAAGAAAATTTATGTGGAAGGAAGTTCTGTTCATAATTTCTTTACTTTTTCCTTTTTTTTTAATAAGGCAAGAACTGTTCAGAAATAATTGGACAGTGCCAGCCACGTAGTTGTATCAAAGGCAACTGCAGTAGTGTCTCTCCGCATACTTATAGATGCCTGTGTGATAAAGATACTGCAGGTAAGAAATGCATGTTTTGTCCCACACACAAAAAGATATGAGCTTGACCTGTGCTCTCCTGAAGTTTTACAAGAAAGGCGCCTGTTTATGCATCAGAAAGTCAACATTATACTTCACTATAGCTTTCATTGAAAAAATGCAACTACACCTAAGGTGTTTTAATATACTTCTAATAATGTAAGGTGAATGCTACAGATATATGTATTGTAAATATGCTACTGGCTGAGACTGGCTGTCAATGGCAAATCCAACTTTGCCTCAGTATAATGGGTGAAATGAGCTTCAGCCAGCAATTCTGCACTTATTCCAGATAAGAATTTACTGGCAGTGATAACAATTGAATGATTCAGAAAAACTGAAGTGGTCAGGCTGTTTGCTTTCTCTTTACTCAGAAGCCAGTATTATCAGCCTACCATGAAGAAAATGAGAGGTTTTTTTCAATGAATGTTGTGAGGAAAGATGCCTGAGGAATTTGATCTTAATGAATCCTGAGACAAGCCCAAAGTAAATTGCAGATCAGATCACAGAAGATGCTGATCTGCAATTATTCACTGGTTATTGTGTTTTCTGGATGTGCCAACACATCCATCCATGTTTCTTGGCACACATGCAACCCCCCCCCCCCCAAAGTATCAAGATGTTTTAGTTAGATTTTTAAAAAATACTTGCATGTTCTGTCAAATTAGTTTTAGCACATTTAAAATATATGTGCAAAACTATTTAAATATTCATGTACAAGCAGGATTTTGACCAGCATTCTAGATTAATGCAGACAAGTGATGGAATAAGTTTATGGGTAGCCACATGAGAAAGTGAAAATCCAGAAAATAACTAAAATAGCTCAATTGGGAGACATAATGAACATGTGTATTTTGTAATGGGATCAGGTGAGCGAACAAACTTCCTTACAATTGTAGTTTGATGTCAAAACAATTTCCTGTACTTTCCTGTCTGGGTTTAATTTGTGCAGTAAGTTGTACATTTTGTCAACCCATTAAGCTTTCTGCGCAAACATTGTTCTCATTTCTGATGAGGGGCAGCAGTGATGTACACTGAATTGCTCATTTGGCTTTTTCACAGAGAGGCATGAGGAAAATTGATCTACTGTTTGTGTTTTGCCTGAAGCTTCTGTAGCATTCAATAACCGATTTGCAGACTGCCAATCCAATACTTTACCCAACTGATTAAACTACATCTCCAGTGGTTTAAGAGTCAGAGAGTTTGCTTTCTGCTTCCATTGTGATAGCTTGTATGTACAATCTAAGAAGGAAGTTTTGAAAGCTAGCACATTGTCTTCTAGTATTAGCAAACTGGTCAGTACATTGAATGAGGAATGAGGTAGATCGACATGTGATAAACTAACCACTCAGAGCATCTACTCTTCTATTTGCTTTATAAACTATATGCACTTGCTACAGACATCTTAGCTATACTATGGGTTTGTATATAAAAGCATTATAATCATTCAATTGATCTGTTTTAAAAATGTATACTAAGAAAAATTTGTAGTGTTTTACTGATTATGCTCTTGCTTTTACGAAGTGTTGTAAACCTCCCAGAAAGCTTCATCTGCTGGGCAGTAGGGACATTAAATAGATGAATGAATAATTGTGGGTCCATTAGAATGAAAGAAGTAAAATATTGAGAGGGAAATGCTTTTTATTAGGAACATCCCCAAAGGTTGCAAAATAGTCAACAAGCTTTAAAGGATTCTTCTTCTGGCTGGATGTGCTGTAAGGAAGATAAAGTTTTATTCTGCAAAAGGGTGAATACATTTTGGCCCTGTAGCATATATTGCTGGGCCACCTGCACCAAATATAAAAATTGAGAAGATGCTAGGCTACTTGTATTTTTAAAAAATATTCTTCAAACTTGAAATTTATGTCCTCTTTGCAATTAGGTTATTTTAGAGGTTTTCCAGTTTTTTCAGGCCCTGGGTATGTTGTAGGCCCAAAGAGCATCAAAAAGGGGCCAGAGCAGACCAGGGTGTAATTTTGGTTGTGTGTTCCTGTGTGCCAGTCACTAACTCTGACTCTTATGCCCCAAATGAGGGACTAGGATAAAGTGCATTTCTACATCCATTCTTGCTATGCAACAGGTACAGAGACTACAGGGCCTACGGTTGCATACTTATGAACATCTTAGCCATACTGATGGTTCCATTGAGGAGATACCTTCCCATATGAGGAAGGGAAACTACTAATACATGAAACTGGATGCCATGAATTTTAATGTACATTTCCCATAATGTATATTACTATTGCTCTTTTAACTCCTTTGCTCTGTTTTGCACTTAGTCAGACGTTGCCAACACCAAAGGCAAGATGGTTTAATAGTGATGGGCTCCCAGTCTCCCCCTCCCCTGATGGAACATCATCATTGAGGACTGATCCAGTAACCTTGCTGTTGAAACTGAAAGTCATCTTGCAGTATATTGGCAACATCTTTTACTGGAAGCCAGTTTTCCAAATCCATCTTGATTTATGACAGAGGCTACTTCCTGCCAAAGATTTTATTATAAGATCACAGTGACTTGTTCATAGAAGTTTACAGGATGAGGCAGGGAGTCTAGACAAATGCCATCTTCCACTTGTCATGTTTCCCCACTATTTCTTCTATTTTTTTTTCATATGCAAAGGTAAGGAGGAAAATCATATAGAATAGCTGCACAATGACTTTTGACTGGGAGAACTACAAGCCCTCCCATCTGGAAGAGCCCAAGGTTTTGGCACTGCTGTTAGATGTTCCTTTGCGCCAGCTATCTCTAACCAGGGAGGGTGTAGAGAGATGCCTGGGGTTATACAAGAGTAAACCTTTTGCCCACAGTATTTCATTTTAATTCTCCTTGAAGCACTGAAAAAATGCATTAAAAGAAACAGACTGTTCCTTCACAAGACTTCAGGGAATACCAAATGAAGCAGCATTTTCTGGACAAAGATAGTGCTCAGTCCTTCAAATGGGCTGAGTCTCACAGCAAAAGATTAATATCACATCGTGTGTTTATGGTTTTTGTTACTGGCCCATACACCACTGTGCCTTCAGCAGATTGGCTGGATCACTGAATTTTGCTGGAGTGCCCTAAGAGAAAAGGCTTGCCTCTTGCTCTTGATCACTTACCTTGCTCACCATTGCCTCATTGTGCCTCTGCAAGAGGGAACTTTCTTTAAGCCAGCATTTCCAGAGATAACCAGGGCCATTCTCAGGCCCCAACGTGCAGTTTTTGACACCACTGACAGCGTTTATTGGTTGCTGGTTCTTCCCACCTCCTCTGAGAAAGGAAAGGAGCCTTCCACATGTGGAACGTTCCGGTGCATTTGCAGGCTGTCCCTGTTACGTCCAGAGAGACAGAGAATGACAGAGTCAGCATTTCCTTTCCTGACTCATGGGGCAGTGTGGATCAGATGGGGTAGCACCATGTATATGTAGGGAGCTCATGTGCCAAGTTTGTTGTGAGACCAAAAATGGGATCATTGGGTCCCCATGGTGCTTGAAATTGCTGAAAAGATCCCCCTGCTGTGTATCATTCCCCATTCTCAGCATCTGATATAATAGTGTACATGGCATTTTTCCCCTTCACTGATTCACTAAAACGGTTATTTATACCTATAGCTGCTAAATGTAGCTTTGATATTCCAAACCAAAAATGGTCATTGCACAACTAAACTCAGAATGGTAGAACCTTCCCATCACCATGCATGTGTCCTATCCTTCATTTTCTAGCTACTCTGGCATCAATACATTTGGCATAACTTTATCAATCCCTAGACATGCCCATTTTAAATCATTGCTTAAGTCTTCTCAAGCTATATATTGGGCACTTTTATTACAAGTTTGATTTCATAGAGGTCACTTTTTAGCTTTTGAAATAATAAAAAATTGAAGTGTTTTACCTAAGGCAATGATGAACAACGTTGTACAGAAGGTATAGTGTAGCACAGAGGTTCATGCTGCATGCTATGAGAATTTTACAGGAGAAAAAAAATATAAGAACAAAATTCTCCACCATAAAAGTGTGTCTTTTCCCCATCAAATTTAGATCAATGCAGACCAATGTTTTTTATGTAAATGAAAAAGAGTTAAGTGGTGCAACCATCAAACACCATCTTGTAGCAGAGGATATCTTAAAGCTATTTTATCGGTTTCAGCAGACACAAATGCTTTGTTTGTTTGTTTGTTTATTTGGAGTTTTTGTATGCCGTCCCATTCACGTGAGCCTTGGGACGGCTTCCATACAATAAATAAACAAAGCATATAAATAGCGCACATAAAATCTACTGTTTTTTGCATCAATCTTTGTTGCACATAGACAACAAAGGTCTGTCCTTTCTGTGTGTAGGATTGAATTGCCAAATCGGCCGGCACTCTGCATACTGGAACATCTGGAGCATAGTCCTTCTCTGTGCATACTCATGGTGTATTTATGCAAAGGGACCCTCTACAGTGCTGCTGCTCATTCTCTACAGTTCAGAGGCATATGGAGAAAGGATGTGCGTAGGTGCCTCCTACTCAGCCTTTCCTTTTCCTCTGAATTGCATGATGCTCAAGCTCTGATTCTTGCATAATTATCCATCATGGAGAAGCTCACTGGGTGGGAACATCATGGAAGCTGTGCTCCAGCACCTCTTTCCGTCAATGCATGGAGAAAGCAATCTAGAGCCCTACATGCACAGGTGCTGCACCTTGAGATACAAAAGGATACTTCTTTTTACGCAATGAAGACATGCATTTAGTATACACACATATGCAACTAATTCTTGGAATTAGCATGCTTTTACCATTAAACGTATACTGCTAGAATGAAAGATGCATGTTAATATCCATAGCCATATTTCTATAAGTAAAAATTCATCAGTAAAAGTACCCACAATGCATGTCTTCTCAACAGTTAGCCTTACATTTTCAATAGAACAGGAGTGAAGTGTGAACAGGACTGACATTCAAGGAATGTAGATCTCATCCTCATCAGAGGCTCTTGCTCTAGGAATATGCAGTCTTTGCTTGCTTGCTTCCTTCCTTCCTTCCTTCCTTCCTTCCTTCCTTC